CTTGTCTTAATACAAAAATCATTTTAGTTCTGGTAACTGTTGAAATTGTAAATTTACTGAGGGGACTTTTTTTTTTTTTTGTCTCTTTTTTGTTTGTTTGTTCTTTAATCTTTTTATTTTTATTTTCTGAATGCACTTACAGATTGTGTAGTTGTTGTCTTGTGTACTTTGCTACCTGTACTTCATTAATAAATAAAAAACAACAGGAACCGGAGAGCCGGTGGTTCAAGCCCCGATGCAAACGGGCTTGGAAACTAGTCTTGTACCCAGGCATTTCCTTATTAGTGCTTACCCTTAAAATCCTGTTGGTGCATGTGTCTATATTTGAGCCTATGTGTGGGAAGGATGTCTAAAAGTAATTTGCCTTCGTGGAATCAATTAAGGGCATCTTCTATTCTATTATGCTGTACTGAAAACATCTGAAATAGTGATTATGACCATTAACTTAATAGTAAAATGTTCAGTGATAAATTGAGTAAGGAGGTGGCTCATTTCACGGCAGAATTACGATCCGACTCCTTTTTGCAACCAGTAACAATGCCCCCTACTGGCCACTGCTGACTTTTAAAAGTATATTTCATACAAGCCAGAGTAAGATGACTAAATCAAAAAAGGGGCTCAGACAAATCTGCAGTTTTGTTTCAGCTCCAGGACTTACATACAAAGTTTGAAAATGTATTCCTGTGTGCGCCTCTTGACTGGTATTCAGACCTTGGGCTCAAGGTGTCCTAGTCTTCTGATGTTTGTCCACCTTCAACACTTTTACAGTAACATGGGTTAAAAACAACTACGCTTTTTCCCTGAATTTGATCAGACATGTGGGGAGCTATGACACACCAAATGTTTTCATAATGTTGTTTACAGTTAATGTTAAAGATAATACTACTTTTTCAAAAACTGTTTGAGTGGAAGTTCAATACAATTCAATTCAATACAATACAACAGACCTCCTTTTTGTTTCTGCATTTACTTGAAAGTTGGACCCTGTTCCCACTGAGCTGTTAATAAGTGCATAATAAAGTATTTATTAACCTTTATAAGTAGTGTTCCCACTTTAGATCCAGTACCTGCAGAGGAGCTTTATTAACTGTTAATAAGTGCATAATAAAGTATTTATTAACCTTTATAAGTAGTGTTCCCACTTTAGATCCAGTACCTGCAGAGGAGCTTTATTAGCTCTAATAAGTTTCTAACAAGAGCCTATAAGTGTCTTACAAGACATAATAAAGGTTTTAATTATGCCTCTATTAACACTTATATAGTCTTATTTGTGTTAATAAGAATCTTATTAATGTTTATGGCGTGCTAATAAGAATCTAATAAGGTCTTATAACAGCTTATAAGTGACTTATTACCTATTAATTACAGCTTATTACAAGCACCTTAATATAAAGTGTTACCCAAGAATTCACAGGGCCCCCCTCCAACCAGCGTTTATCATCATTATGTTATAAACAATCTGATACCAACAAAATAATTCTAAAATGTTAACATAATTTATTTACAAGGTTTAAATACAAATTATTTTCAAAATATTGATCTAAAGAACATAAAAATGTAATTATCTAAATAACTTTAAGTCCAAATACAAATGGTGCTCTTCTGAAAAAGAACCAGTTTTCACATTATTTGAGTGTAATATAAAGAACAATAATCATTTGGACATTTCGGACTTTGTTACATTTTGTGTCACAACACCCCACTACTTCATTTATGCACATCCACATTCACACACCTGATGTTTGCTGTTCCAAGGTCATTCTTTTACTTTGTTACAATAAATCATTATTATTTGCAAGTTAACTGGTGTCCTTTTTCGTATTTGTCATGGCCCTTGAGTCAGGTTATTATGACACTATGTATCTATTTATCTATCTATCTATCTATCTATCTATCTATCTATCTATCTATCTATCTATAATAATGAAGGGGATGTGCTGTCAGATTGGCCTCAACTGTCATTGAAAACTTTGCGCATTTTGAGCAACTGCTGGAATTTGATGTTTGTCAGCCCTTGGGGCCCTCTACTGACTTGGGGCCCTCTACTGACTTGGGGCCCTCTACTGACTCAGGGCCCCAAGCAGTTGCCTGTCTTCCCTGTAGACAAGCAGCGACACTGGCTAGCTGTTCAGTGAGAAAACATAAAGCTAGACTATATCAACCTGCCGCCCAGCTCCAGACAGAAGCCCTTTACACATTGTGTTAAAGCAACAGCACCATGATGAAGCTCTTTGTTATAATGCACCTTGATGTCCCAGTGTATGTTTACATCGGGTTATCACCATACACTGTAAGGTTAGCACACACTCTCAGACACCATGTGTAAGGCACATCATGTTAATGTTTAGCATTATTTCTGAAATTTTGTATGAAACATAATTTTTAGTTTAGTTCCAGTTTATGCTTTGCCTGTTAACCACAGGTCAGCAAATGTCAAAAGTCACTCATGTGGACAATATAATTTCTATACCATGTAGAAGTTAAGGCCATCCTGTAGTCTGGTTGTCATTATGTGTATGTTGTTTATTTTAGAATTTGTAGTGGAATCATGCTACATTGCTAATGAGCCGTTCAGTTGTGGCAGTGGCCTTTATGTCAACTGTTCCACCATGAGGCTGCGTGTGCAGCCATGAGGCTGTGTGCAGCCTTCTCTATAGAAGGTTTTATTTATCTATTTGTGTTTGTATTTTTTGATAATTAGCCAAATTGTAAATTTTGGAGAAATAAATTAAATTCAGTATTAATGTGTATCAAATCAAGAAAGGCTGAAGAGAATAAATGAAAAACTGTTGCTCTTTAATTTTGCTTTATTTACAGTGAAAATATAACAGTCCTCACATATGGGTCTGTTACACATGCACACATGGCACTGTTCAGCACTGCTGGGTTCAACATTAAACATCTAAGTATCCTTCTGTAAGGACACACGGGCTGTATCCGAATTGCCAAGTACATACTGAATCTTTCAGTAGGCAGTAGGCAGTATGCAGTACATACTATCCGTGCTGTATACTGTTAGTACCTACTATTCAGTATGCACACACAGTAGGCAGATATTTGTGCCTACTTCTTCTGATTCATTCAGTATGAAAGTGACGTCATTTACGTTTCCCGAACCGGCCGCATTCACCCGTTTTTTTTTTTTTTTTTTTTGTTTAGCTTTATTCAAGAAGAGTAATGCGCATATACAGTCAGGTAAACAAAACAATATCACAATGTAAATCAAGTAAAAGACAGATTAAATAACTAAATAACATACAGTACATAAAGAAAAGTACAAATGAAAGACAGTAATATGCAGAATATAAAGTAAACCAATACAGACACATTTAAATAGTTAAATCATTATTTAAATAGAGGGAGAAAGGTTTGATAATAATGCAGATATTTGTTATATTTTCTGTTGTTAATTTAAAGTAGTGATTTCAGTCGGGACTTTAATTCTAGATTAAAAATTGATTAAATTAATCCACGCTCGTTTGTTTTGATTTGGAGGCGGACGTGACGTGACGATTTATGTTTAATTTCGCACAGCATTGTGGGTGGTAAAATACAATTCATTTCCTGAAAGCACACATCCGATCCATACTGCATAAAACCCGGAAGTTAGTATCCATACTGGAATGTTCAGTATACTGCGCGGACCCAAAAAATGCATACTGAATGACCATGAAAGTTCAGTATACTGAAACTCCTACTGAATAGTACGTACTGCATACTGAACTGTGTCAATTCGGAAAGGGCCAGCCTCTAGCTTCTCACTGGGGTTGGTGAATGAATCACCTTAGTGCAGAGTCAGGTGTGTTTGTGGCTGATTGGCCTTGATTAAAGACAGGTGTGGGGAGCTTATTTATACTCCTGGAATTCAGTTCTCTGTGCTGACTCATGATCTCAACTTCAGAGGTAGTGAGAGGTTCTCCCTGTGTTGTCTCTTGTTGTCTGTGTGTTCACAAACACAAACAAATAACTTTGTGTGTATTTGTGTCTATTGCTAAAATAACTTGGGGTGCTGGTAGTTGATAAACCCCAGCCTTTTGTGTTGAGTTTTAAGGCCTCCCTGGCAGCCTTTACTTCCTTGAATTGTTTCTGGGTCTCCCTGACAATTTAGTTTGGAGTCAGCTGCTTGGCAGCAGTAGTTTAATTATCATTTTCAGTGCATTAGTTAGAAGGGTGTTTTGGCTCTGTACTATTTCATTGTTCCCTACCCCCCCCCCCCAACCCCCCCACCCCCCCAATCTACCGTTTGCGATTCTTGTGGTTATCCTTTTTGGATAACTTTCAGACACCCCTGGGTCCGCACCTGTGTCCCACTTTCCCGTTTTCCTGACACCCTCCTTGAACAGCAATGTGTAAGTGGAGCTCATGTAGAACACACATAGAACAGAATAGGATATTGGTTATGAATGAATGATAATATTGCCCTGTGTTTTCTTGGTGAGTGAAAATGATATGTTTGCTAACCACTTGGCCAAATGTACATTTTAAACTGTTATTTCAGGTTCAAAACAGACATTTTAATAAACTAATATTTGAGTACTTTTTTTCTTGTACAATAATTTCTGTGGAACAAAATCCACTCCAGAGGTTATTATGCACCTAAGGGTAGTCTGCCTAAATGAGTTGTTTCAAGTGTTGTGAGTTTACAAATAGTCCACATTTAACCACACATCAAACACTGTGAAGTCCCCCTTTAAAGGTTCTTTCCATTCCAAGCCTCCACCAAAAACAGCCCAGATGTGTGTATTCACTGCCCAGTGCTGCAGTCAAAACAGTTCAGATCTGAAAACTAGATTCATAACCACATTCAAGTGATGTTTGTGCGTGGGTTTATTCCTACACTGGAGTGGGTCACAGAGAATTCATTCATCCTTTCCAGCATACAGTACTTACCTACACACACTGGGGGCACACAGACTCATGTGCATGCCTCGTAAATGACTATAACCAGTGTGTGATGCAAAGTAGGTGTGTGTTTAGGCTCAGCTCAGTGCAGTGCAGCTGACTCACAGGAAAGGGGCAGTGATTTTGGGGGCCCATGCCTCACTGAGAGAGACAGTGTTCTACCTACTGAGGGGGAGGAGAGGCAAAGAGGAGGACGATGGAAGGAGAAGAGGTACAGGCAACTAATCCCAGATGAATCACAAGAAAGCAGTGGTGTGACTGCTGTGCTGCCTTCGGTGTCTCTGAAGTGGATCTTCCCTTTGGATTGCCTTCTTTATGCCTTGAGTTGAAGCTGTGGAGGCTGGCCCAATACAACATGATCGACTATGGTGAGTAGGACTTCTCAGCTAACAATGATGATTGGTGCAAGTAGATTTAAAAACCATGTGTCTCTCAGACTTTAAAGAATACAAAGAAGTAGGAAAAACATCGTCATCATTGTAAAAACCTCACAATGATGATTTTCTCTACTTCCTTGAATTCTTTCTCCTGAGAATTGTGTAACAGAAAAATTTGAATTCTGTGACTCAATTGCACATAGAGGTCCTTTGTTGAAAAATAAATTATGTAACAATGTTTGTGTCCATTCCAATGGAACCAGAAGAGCACAAGTAGCTAAGTTAAGTGAGGCCAGGTGAAGCTTTCCCCACAGCCCGTACACTCACACAGCCACAGCATGCAGTTGTCACTCCACATTGTCAGAATAGAGATCAGACAAGCCGAGCCCCCCTTCAGAGTGCGCAAGCATAAGAATGCAAATGCTATCTCATAAATAATGTCAAGGACTTTACACATTTAAAAGTGGTGAATTATTGCAGAATGACTCCTCGTGGCTCTCTTGGCTTTCCTCTGTTGGCCCTACACAGAGTGGAAAATCCTCCGGTCAAAACTCCTAACAACACACACGTTGTTCATCTGAGCAGCCACCCCACCCTCTGCTTTTCCTCAATCATGGTCTGTTCAGCTGGAGCCCTTTCCAGACTAATGCTTAAGGCGAGGACTGTGGTGTCTCAGTTGTACACATTTAAAGGGATACTTCACCCGTTGAAACATGACTCTGTATTGACATTGGGTCATATATGTAGTAGAAATGTGAAATACATTTTGAAGTTGGTGCCTTCTTGGCCGAGAAAAGACACAAAGTGTCTTTTTAGCTCATGTGGATGAAAGACACCAAATCCCAGAATGCACAGCACAGCAGACCACTCCCACTATGGTCCTCTATTTACTGACATATTTACTTCAACACATCAGACCATTTCCTCAACTGATTCAGAGATTTCTTCCAGAATTGGTGGAGCTGGTGGAGCCAATGTCAGCGTCATTCTGCGAGAGGCGGGTACACATTGAACAGGTCACCAGTCAGTAACTGGGCTGACATATAGACACAAACATTCAAGCTTCTTTCATCCATTGTCAAAGTCAACCTGTTTTTACATTTGATAGCTGTATAAACGCTCTTAATGTCTGAAACATCTTGAAATTTGATGACTTTTCCCAAAGTTATGAGAGAGAGAAAGATGGAATCTTATGTGGATGATAGGCCTTCAGCATTAAGATCCATGTCTTTGTTTCCTCTCTATCTGGCTAACTTACCCTCCATAATTACAAACACACTTCCAGCATCAGAGCCACTGATTCATCAGACAGAAATAGACTTTGTTCCGTATTTATTCACTGGAATTTGAGGCCTTACTACTGATTCATCACATTTTTGGGGTAGGCAGGTATTCTCTTCAAATGTTAAACAAAAGAAACAGACACTTTAGAGACTCATTTATCCTTTAATGTCCCTCTTTGAAATTGAATGTAGTATGTATCTTAAGGAAAACATATTATCATATCCAGAAACAAAGCAAATAGAAAAGCACATGCAAAAGTCAAAATGAAAATGAAACGAATGAACACACTCAAAATGAAACAAGCATGATGCAAGAATCAGAAAGAACTGCATCACCTTAAAAAATCTGCAAATACATTGAGATATTCAATCCAAAAGACAAATATGCAGTGATCAACTGCAAATAAATGAAAGCTGCAAATCCAGTCTTAAACGGAAGCTGCTCCAGGCCTGTAGGGGCGCTAAGTGGAACTAACTGCGTTCACACAGCAACCAAAAGTGACCTGATTGTTTTTGCTCCCATGTGAATCAGATGTGATTTTTTCATGACAGTGTGAACAGTACACACAGTCACATGGAATCGGATCTTTTCTAATCAGATTTGAGCCGCTCTCATATGTGGATTCCCACAGGAGTCTGATACAGGACGGATTCAATAATCAATATGAACAGCCAAACAAATGGATCAGACCTAACATACAAATGTTAGTAATATTAAGGCTTGCAGTGTGCATGCAGCCTAAGTGGACTCAGTCTTAATGTCCTAGTTGCTGCATTTAAGGTTACCATATGCCATTTTCCAATTCAAACTATAAATTCACCTTCTCGTCTCTCACTCTCTCCTGTTAATAATAAATTGTTCCTCTGAACGCCTCCTACAGGCTTAGAGCACTTCGGTTGAGACGGGACTTGGAGTGTTTGCCACATCTCATTGGCATGCCTTCATTTATTTGTTTTGGTTGAGTTCTACAACCGGGAAATTGACGAACTGTAACTTGAAAAGGAACATCCTGCACATTACTCTTGCTCAGCATCACCAGTTTAATAGAATAATCAGATTGGATGGATAGATCCAACCTTCAAAACAGGGTCCTAAGTCTCTGACTAGACTCTTCTCCTCTGTCGCCCCCCCGGTGGTGGAATGAACTTCCAAACTCCATTGGATCTGCAGAGTCCCTCTGCACCTTTAAGAAAAAGCTAAAGACCCAGCTCTTTCATGAATACCTACTAACTTAATGATGATGGTCTCCATATTATTGATGATGATGATGGTAATGACGATGGTTTTTGTTTGATAACGATGACTTATAAGATGGTTTCTATACTGATTAGAGCTCTCAAGAACTGCCCTCAATGTTGTGCTTTGCCTCTGGTCACTTCCTGTCAGCACCTGTGTGTCCAATCGGACTCAAAGCTGATCGTTTGCTCTTACTGACATTGTTCCCTTTTTTCTAGATCCTTGGTTGTGTTGTACGTCGCTTTGGATAAAAGAGTCTGCTAAGTGAATTGTAGAATTGTAGTCATAACACATGCTGAAAAGTTTCTATTACAGCCACAACATGTTGTGTGGGGGGGCTGTGGCTCAGTGGTAGAGTCAGTCGTCTGTCAACTGCAAGACTCTCAGTCCCGCATTGCTCCCACTGTTATGCCTTCAGTGTGTGACTGTGTGAATAGAATAGTACTGGTGGACAGTTGGACACTTTCCGTAACATCCTCTACCATCAGTGTGTAAATGTGTGAATGTGACATGTGGTGTAAAAACACTGAGTTGTCAGAAGACTAAAAAAGGACTCTACATGTTTAAGCCCATTTACCATTAATGATACAAAGAACTTCTCCCACATATCTCTCTCCATCATAGGTGGAGAAGCAATGTGTGCGTCCTTGAAGTATGTGACCGCTAAGAAACAGGAAGTGGGTCAACTAACAGAGTGGCTCATCCTGCCCAGGGTTTGGTTTGGGGTGCGATGAAGTTAAATTATTCGTAGCACAGACCGATATGTGCAACATATCTGTCACACTGTACAGCCCTGGAAGTAGATAGTCCATGTCCATGTATGGGTTGGTTTTATTTACAGAATGTTGTTAAGCAGTTCAAATTTACAGCTAAGTTACTGAAAAAAGCTCAAGAAATCAGGGACGATACCAGCAAGCTACAGACAAAATGTTGTTAAACTACTATCACTGCAATAAATAAAATCTACACAATCTACACAGTCTAAATATTATCTCATATATTGTCTGAATATATGTTACAGCTGTAAAATCAGCACCAAAACATTGGTGTAAAAATTTTTGTGACTTGAATCTGGAGTAATCAAGTCTGACGGAAGCCGTTAGCCGAATGGTTTGTTCGCGTGCCCCATGAACAGAGGGTTTAAAATGCAACCTGTGTCACCTTTCCCGCATGTCAAAAGTTTGTTCACAGTTGACTTAACGGTTGAGTTCTTTGAGTGTCAGTTAATAATACATCGCTTGGTCTTGACTTTTTGTGTTTAGGTGATTTTATTTGGTAAGTTTGTGGATAGTTCAGTATCATTAGAAACCTGGTCATATTTTTGAAGGGTCGTGCATCCCGCCCTCATTTTCCCCTGAGATGGGAAATCTTTGTATTTCGAAGTCTGAAAAGGAGCTTCCAGTGACGCAAAAATCATCATTTTGTGGAAGTTGTTGTGGTTAGCGGGGTGAAACTACAACGCTAGTTCCTCATATTTTCAACCACTGAAGCTACAGACCAATCACAGATCAGTGGGTGGGAACTGACTCCCAGAATTGAAACTTAACGTCCGCCATATTGCTTGGAAGCTATGCTAACAGGCTCTATGGAGAAAGCTGATAATGGCGAATAAAATCTAAATATAGCAGCGAGATGGTTGCTGCTGACAGGCTGGTGTTGTGTCTTGGCTGCTGTGGCCGCTAGTCGCTGGGGTCACCGCTGGGGGCTAGCCACCAGACCGGCCTGTCGGCAGCAACCGTCACACGGCTATATTGCTGGACGCCGCTGGCCGCAGCAGCTGGGAGAAAAAAAACGGCCTTTCAGCAACAACTGTCTCGCGATTATATTGCTGGCCGCTGCCAGCTCAGCAGCCGAGACATGATACCTGCCTGTCGGCGGCGGTGAGGAAGAGGAGCCGGGGCCGGCTTGAGCTGGGGCGGACTGGTAGTGTCGGTGCTCTCCCTGTTTGCCTATGGACACAGACATAGAGTCTGTTTTCTGAAAGGAATTTCCAAGATCAATTCTGGAAGAAATCTCTGAATCAGTTGAGGAAATGGTCTTATGTGTTGAAGTAAATATGTCAGTAAATGTTTTTATTACTATAATTCTACTGCTATATTGTATATTTTGGAAAAACTATATCAATCGAATTTCCCTCTGGGATTAATAAAGTATTTCTGATTCTGATTCTGAACAAGAGGACCTTAGTGGGTGTGGCCTGTGGTGCTGTGCATTCTGGGATTTGGTGTCTTTCATCCACATGAGCCAAAAAGACACTTTCTGCCTTTTCTCAGTCAAGAAGGCATCAACTTCAAAATGTATTTCACATTTCTACTACATATATGACCCAATGTCAATACAGATTCATGTTTCAACGGGTGAAGTATCACTTTAAAGATGCTTTATTGGCATGAATAGTTACAACTGTTGTTGCCAAAGTGCTGCTAACACATGCCTAACACATGCCGTTGCAATTTGGTAGAATTTCTTGATATAGGGTCTGGATGAAGTCCTGACATTATCTAGAATTTCAGGAGTTCATGTGAGATAAGTCAGGCTCTAATGGGTGAGAAAGTAGAAAGATAATGATGCCTGACTAAATGCATTATGGGTTTAAGTTAAATAGCCTTTGCACATTGTTTACTAAGTGTTCATAGCAAATGTGACAGTCCATCAACACTGGCATGTATAATGCATCTGAAGGTCATCCCCAGTGCTCTCTGGAGTGTGAAGTGGTAAAGTGCACAGACCATCATTAGCCCATTAACGGAACCAACAAAGACAAAAGCATTCCCTGTTATTTAAACTATTAAATATTGTGCACATTCAAACATTAAATGAGCTTCTACTACTTGATTAGTTTTTTTTTTTTAAATTCCATATGCTGTATTCATTTCAAAATATTTACGACATTTTGTGAGAGGAAAAGTAAGGAAGTCCTGTTTATTTAATTGCAGGGAAAGAGGAGAGCTTTTATCTCCTCAGCAGTTTCTCAGAACACTTACAAACACTGATGCAGTCAGACTGTCCTAACTGAATCTTCTAATTGCCCTCCAGAGCGTCCCTCTCCATTAGGCTTCGGGCCGACCAAGAGGAGTGTCTTGGTTCCTGAGCTGCCGGCACACATGCATATACACACGCTGACTGCAATGCCTCAGAGATACTCCCACCAGAGGAGGAAAGCTAACACAGCGGCTGCTAGAAGAATGGAGAGGAGAAGCAGGGAGCGGAGGAAAAGCAACAGCAACAACTCAAATACATGCCACAACCATCGCTCCAAGAAGCTGGCCTCGCTCTCCAGGTACCAGCACCACTCAGAGAGTTAGGTTGCCTCTTCACTCTCACAAACATTATGTCAGCTTCTCTATAGAAGTGCTACTTTTAGATTGAATAAGTTTGTTAATAAAGTTGATCTTCATATCACAAGTGTTGCTGGAGCTTTTTTAGTGATTTGATATGTTTGACAGCAATATAATTGCTTTAATTTCTTTATCAGCTGCATAACTCGAGTAACTTGTAGTTTTGGAGGATTGTTTTTTATGTCATTCACTGACTCAAACAAACTCTGTCCAGGTCTCTTATCCTATGTCACTCCAAGACCAATGATGAATATCCAGAAGAGAGGCATTCTGGAGAAGTGTCAGACGAATGCAAGACATGGGGCTGGAGAGCAGACGTGACTGTCGGGGATCCGACACTGTGCAGAGCTGCAGAAAATAAACAGCAGAGCAAGACTCAGCCATCAGGCCTGGAGAGAGCAGAGAACCAGGTGCACCACACCACCACATTCAGGGAGAATAAAAGGAGCGTGAGGAGGTCCTTCAGCATCAAGGTAAAACAGCAGGAATATGTGGAACAGTGTTTATTTGCATACAAATGTATGAAAAATAATCTAAACATCTGTGGTGAGATGGATCAATGATGATTTGGGAACTGTTTGGATCACCCCCCTGGTGCGGACCACATTTGATCCACAGATCGATAGCAAATAAATGTACTGCTGCTATATACGCTTGCAGAGTCTCAATGAAAAGTATGAAGTGATTAATGTGTGTAAAAGTCACTTTGATCTTCTATACCAGCCTTTCCCAAAATTAAAACTGCCGTGGCCCACTCTGATATACAAAATGACTCCGTGGCCCATTATAAAATAAAATTTATGACTACATCTATAACTTTCAGTAAGGGTAAATTATTGGACATGACAACATGATATTATAGCAAGATAGAAACAAAAGTTTACTGAACATTATGTCCATGAATAGTCATGACAGGCCTTACTAACCACTTAAAGGGTTAACTCATGGTAAATCATCATTATTGGGATATTTATTAATTTATTTTTAAACTTGGTGGAGGGCTTTTCGCTGCCCACCTGCAGTACCCATATGCCCACCAGGGGGCCGCGGACCACACTTTGGGAAGCACTGCGGCATACAAATATAAAAAGAATATGTCTTTTTAGAAATGTTTTTACGTAAATGTTTCACAGGCATTCACACACAGGTCATAAAGTGTTGATATTTCATTGTGTATGGTAACTGAGTGTCAAAGGATTTTTTCTCCACATTTCTGAGTTTATCATACAAGTCAGCAACAACAATCAGAAACTTAGCTTTAATAACATTTTTCCACACATGTCTGGAAACTGGGCGGCTTCAGTTCTGAGATTAATTACGTCATACATTTCAAACCAATATAAAAACTACACACGCCCAGCCAAGTCAGGTGCAACACAGCTAGTCTGCTCCTGCTCAATGTGGCCTTCAAGAGTCTGAGCCAATTCTCACTGCGTCAACTTTTAGCTAGCTAACTGCCTGTAATAATTCTTTCTACTTATATCTTTCTGATATATTATTCTGACCTCTTTGCCACTCTGTCTCTCCCTCCCCAGATGATTTTTACAAAACGAGGGACAGGAGCTGTTAAAAAAGTGCCGTTGCTTCTGAATATTCATGCAAAATCTTAAGGGACAATAGTTTTGGTATTGGAAGCTTTCCTGTTTTTACTTTTAGTCAGAGTTGATAATGTTGGAGAGGGTTTTGGTTGTATGTTGACCCCCAACTACCCCCAGCTATAATCTGTGTAAGATTTGAGCTTTTAATGAAACTTTTGAATCTGACATGAGCAGAGGAGTGTAACAACAATCCAATCATTGTTGTTCCATACTATTGTCAATGTCTTGGTCTTGGTATTAGTTTGATAATGTCACACTCAGATATCAGCTTGCTGCACCAAAAACCTTTAAGAATTGTTTTCAAAATCCTGTCTCCAGTTCTGAGATTTACTTGGAATGGTGATGGATTCAAATTGAATTTGCAGACAATTTCTTTGAGCACATAAATCAACAAAAAATGTATTACATCATTTAAAATCCATTTGCATTGAATCAGTGTCCGTGATAAGATTATGGACTCTGTTGGCAACATGAGGAGTTAAATTCAATTCAATTGACTTTACAGTAATATGTTTTGCACACATGGCCTCAAAAGGGGCTAAATGATGATCACATGATCCTGTGTTGCTGTGAGACTGTCAAACACTCAGACAAAGACAGGGTTTGTTTTGACTCTCCAGCTCAGCCTCACAGCACATTCCACTAATGTATGATATGATACGTCAGTCAATCATTCAGCTCGTAGAGATCCCATAGTGATCTCACATCACTCAGCACTATCCCAAGGAACTGACTCCCTTTACAAACACGACTTCATGTCACAGATCTGGTTGGACAGCATACCTCGCCACTGAGTTGGGCTGAAATCTTCATAATTCTGTGACGTGTATGGCCTGTGTTTGTCTTGAGTTTGTTCTTCTGGGAGTTCTCCCCTGGTTTAGTTGAACTCTGATGACTCATGATTGACAGATTAAATTATCAAGATAGATGCGTGGAATCAGATTTCATTGTGTCTGATATAAATCTGATAGATCAGGGAGAAAGAGTTGTTGTTTGTGCCATTTGAACCTGCAGACAGGGCTGGACTGAATCTGGCATACCCAGTGAGCTGGCACAATTTAGGGCCTGTATGATTTTTTTTTTTATAGTTTATATTTTATTGATTTTTATAACAACATTATAATGGCAAACAATTGTAAAAACAAACAAACAGACTAAAAGGGAACAACAAAACAGGCAGGAAACATAATAGATAATAAATGGATGACAGAGATTAGAGACAACGATGCAGAAAGTATCATCAGTGCATCACCAGAAGGGTGATGTGTGCTTACTAACAAACAAAAGTCAATCAACACCCTGCCAGTGATGTGTTGCATTCTCCTGATATAAACTGGCTAAAATTGTCCCATTGCTCCTTAGAAATGTCATTCTTACAGTTCACCTTTCCAAGCATATTTTCACAAGCAGCTATTGTCATCATTTCTTCTTTCTACATGTTCAGTGTCAGATTTTAGGGCCTGAATGATTAAACTTTGAAATAAATAACTAGAGTTACTAAAAGTTTGTGTGTCTTAAAATGTGTGCAAACTTGATAACACCAGCAAAAGTTAGTAGACTGATCTACTAACAGCGCGCAGTGAGGACTGAATCTTTCATATGAGCAAAACAACATGCATTGACCATTTAGTATGTTTGACTTAATGAATATTCAATATGGGGCGTTTCTGCCCTAGGGTACAAAATACTGGGAGGAGAAAATGCAAATAAGTTAAGTTAGTACACGCATTGTGATTTACCAAGTGGACAAAAAGACTGAGGTGATTGTGACGGTGTCTGAGTTTAACACCTTTGAAAAGAACGTGCTAACCCAGGAGACCAGTGTTACACACAACAGACTGCTGTTATTGAAGTTAGGAGGAGACATAAGCGCAACAAAAGAAGACATACAGATCGCTTTATTCCCCACACATGTTAATATGTTTGGAATGACAGCAGTCAGCTGACCTATTTAAACAAAACTGAACATTCACAGCCTCTGCATTCTAAAGAATTTCAACATTGACTTTTATTTCTTCCTATTTCCCTCTTTTCACCAACATTATATTTTAAACTGGGATTTCCTTTTTCTCGGGTTGCGCCTCTCTCCCCCAGCTCGCCCCCTCTGGTGCGCTCCTCTCCATAATGCGCTCGTCTCCTCCCTCTAAAGCTGCTGCTACTCTGTAGGACGCTTTGATTGGGGGAACTCACCACTGTTTGTACCCCCGTCTTCGATACCTCTCTCCATAGCATTTCTGTCTGATCAGATACAGCGCTGGCCAGCTGTCTGCTGCACAACAACGGCGAGTGTAGAGCGACAGAGGACACAGCTGTTTTCTTATAACCAAAATTTTCTTTGTAATATTCAGATTTATCTCCTATAACTATTTATAGGAGATTTACTTATGTAATACGCAAGTATTTATTGCGTTTATTTGCTTCTCTCACTGATACCTATTTTGCGCTTGCAGTCATCCTGCTTTCTGTCCAAACTCTCCGTGATGTAAACCAGTAGAACACGCAAAAACCTAACTTAAATAGTACCGCCTCCACAAGGTTTACACCTGGCGTCATTCACGCAAATTTTCTACCACCAACCAAACGTGTAAACTTTTGAAGTGAACACGCAATTTAGTACTCTCTAATTGGGAGCTTAGTAAATCTGGCCCTAAATATGCTAATAACAGGTCTACAGAGCAGCAATGGTTTATTTTTTAAACTATGACAGCTGGCTGTCATTATAAATCACATCTCAAAAAGTGTCGACTCCACCTATCCCCTCTGTTCTCTCAAAATATTTTAAATCAAGGAGCTGCAAAATATGCAAAGACTCTGCATCAGTATCAGCAGGTGTGGTCTGCTACCACTACACCCACTGCAACAGGTGGAGAGAGAGGAGAGGTGTATGGCCCTGCCAGGTAGAGAGCATGCGAGGAGCAAGTGTGTGTCAAACTTGTAATTAAATAACAGTATTCCCCTAAATTAGCTTTATTTTATCTGACAGAAAGCAGAAACCTCAGCACACATTTACAGATCGCTGTGATTGTCAGTGCCTTGTAGAACCCTCGCCTTCTTTGCTCCCCATCCATCACTGCGTCGCTGCGTCCCTGCGTCGCTCTGTCTGGGCCATATTCAAAATACTTTGGGCCATGCATACATCCAAGGGTACGTTATTCTGTGCCAAAGCTTCATGATAAAGAAAATGACATTTCTTTGCCGTAGTAATTAGTAAAATTGCCTTTAGTTATCTGAAGGATCAATAGTAGTCTACTAAATATTAGCATTAACATTTTCTAAAATATTTGAATATTAAAAATGATAAATATAGGGTTAGGGTTATGGGATTATAGAGGTGTGAAAGTGTACGAATGGATTACGGATGAATACTAATGGAAACTATGCAGAGCAGCTTCTAAAATCAGTGTGTGAATGTGGAGGTGTGACCTGCGGTGTAAAAAGTGCTTTGAGTAGTCAGAAAAGTCTATTCACTAATGAAACCTTAGTGCTGATCCCATGTCCTTCTGTCTTCTGCCTGATGCTCGATAGATTGATAAGGCTTGGGTTTCTTAGTCTTGTTGACTGTGTGTGTGTGTGTGTGTGTGTGTGTGTGTGTGTGTGTGTGTGTGTGTGTGTGTGTGTGTGTGTGTGTGTGTGTGTGTGTGTGTGTGTGTGTGTGTGCGTGTGCGTGTGCGTGTGCGTGTGCGTGTGTGTGTGTGTCACTGCAGGAGAGCAGTATCTGGAGGATGTGTGTGGCCACAGGCCCTGCTGAGGAGGCTGATAACACCTTTCAGACGGAGGATAAAGACACAGACAGACCCGGAGGGAATGGAGGTAACCTTTACAGGTAACACATGCAGAACTTACTGAACTCTTTATTCCTCAGGAATGTGGTGGAAAAAGGGGATAGATCAACACAAATACATTCATAATATAAGGCTCAACAAGAAAATGTTTGATAAAAAGAAAACCATTTAATAACTAAGAGAGAAAGAACTGATTCATTTTATGAAGGTTAAAAAATGGTTTGAAACAGGTGGGCTCTTGGAATTTGAATGGATATCTTAAAGGCTTTATATGTGATTTTTTTGATCCAGCAGATGTCGCCCTTGAGCACCAGCATGAAACCAAAACAACTTGCGCTGCATTGTTGTGTTAGCATGCTAATGCTAGCGATCTTTATTATGCTCGTATCTTCACACTGCATGTAAATTTACCTGAAATGAGCGTGATCTAGAAACACAGTTAAGCAGTGAGTACAGTATGTTGTTCTTCTTTTCTCTAGTCCCTCAATTAAACAACTTTTATACATGAGGGGAGGAGTCAGCCGGCCATCCGGGCGATGTAAACAAACTGAAGATAGGACTCGGAAAACTCTGAAAACATCACAGACAGTGGGACTCGGGTGTTAAACCCATTGTAGACAGTCATGACTCACAGAGTTATTTTCAGAGGATATACTGTACTTAATTTATATTACATTTAAGTCTGAAAAATAACATATTAACCCTTTAAGTATCTTATGCAAAAAATAAAAAATAAAATGCAAAACAGTGGGTCAGGGTGTTTTTTCTTTTTTCACGATTAATTATTTTACCTTGATTTGAATTTCAATGGTTAGTCTAAAATAATAGAATTTGAAACAAGCAATTATCTCATTTTGTATAGCCTTTGAAATTACGTTTTTCCTTTTTACAGTCTCAAAACCCTTCTGAGGTCATAAGACATGTATGTTTGCTCACCAACAATGCTATACAATTATAGAATCCCCCCTACTAAATATAGTACATGAAGCAGTAACTCCGTTAGTAACTCAGGTACTTTTTGGTAGTAGTAACTAATAACTCTAACTACTTACTTATTTTCAGAAACGTGCCCAACACTGGCTGTTACAAATTCATAAGTCATATTTCCCCCCACTGTGGGTCTAATCCTTCAGTAAAAGTGTGTGTGTTTGTGCTGCCTGGCAGAGGGCAGGAACAGGTGCATTTGTGTGTGTGTTAGTGAAGCAGTGTGACAGAGAGCACGAGCTGATGTGCTAGGAAAATCTAGTTTGTATTTATTTTTGAATATAGTTGTGACATTGATTTAAAAATGTTTTTTTTAATATACACACAGATGTTTCAGACAAAAGTGTGCCTCAAAGTCATAGACATTTATGGAACTGTATTGGCAAAAGTGTAAGAAGAAGTCACACAGGCTTCCAGTTCTCTCTGTGTTTCTTTCCTTCAGAGGCTGCAGCTTCCTGAGCCCAGACAAGCTGGCTCCCTTTAACGGACACTTTCTAAACGGCAGTGCTTTGATGGTCGGGGAGAGGCTGAGAAGCATTCACATTAAAGCCAACTGTGAGGTAATAGCTGCTCACACATTAAATCCACTTTCATGTGATATTTTTCCTTGTTTCTTTATTCTCTGAAAATCCACTATGGTGCTATCCAAACATACTTGTTTGTATCCCTGCATTCTTAAAGAGCCCATATTATGCCCTTTTTGAGGTTCGTATATTTAATCTATGTACCTACTAAAGTATGTTCACAATAACTTAAGTTTTAAAAAAGTGTCTGTTTTCATGTACTGCCGCTCCATGCACCGGCTCGCTTCTGATTCTCTCTCTAAGGCTCTGAAGTGCCCACGTGTGCCAAGTCTGATCTGATTGGTCAGCGAGTCCGCTCTGTCGTTATTGGTCAGTTGCTCAGCACTGTTCTTGGAAATGTCCGCCTCTTTTACCATATTGGGAATGCAGCCACTGGCTCCGTCCGAGGGGAGCATAAACATTAGCACCTTAGCACTACTGTGCTACTGCAGGCTACGGCATATCGTGGGTGTGCTACAGAAGTTAACGGGCGTGCAACATGAGCTGCTGGGGTTGCCACAACGAGCCAATGGGCTTAGATCAGTGATCTCACACTGACAAGACGTCACATTGAAAAAAAAATTCTAGGGGGGCTAGAACTGAGCGTTACATGCAGCTAATGCTACAGCTAACAGGACGACGTAGGATAAGCCGCGTTTCAGCTGACTTTGAATTTTTGCACATAGATGTGCCTAAACATGCACAGGACACTTGGAAAACACACTAAAGAGCATATAAAACCAGAAAAAGCAGAATATGGGACCTTTAATTCAGAGTTTAAAATGATTTATTTAACAGTATTTTACAGACTCCGTCATGGCGACTTCATGCACTCAGATGGTAAAGCGAGGCCGGCAGCAGGATAGGATACTCCCCCTATGGAGTCTAGACCCTGGTGGTGGTGATAGAAGAATGCAGGATGTGATGAGGAGTGGGTTTCTGAGGCTGTATCTGAACTCTGCTGAGCTGTAATGGAGAACGAGGGCCGCAGCGATCACACTGAAATGACAAATGACTGTGGAAGAGAGAAACAGATTTTAAAATGTGACCACAGCAGGATGACTGGTTGAGAACGGTTGTGACAGAATTGGGTTGTATTATTACTTAAAGAATAAACGTCCAATATCAGCTGATCAACGTAACGAGGGAGCAGCTAAGTTGAATGAATGTGTGAGAGAATATAAATAGTCTTCCTGCTTGTCTTAATAGATTGTTGCTGCTCAACAAAGTGTAAATTTCTTAATTTATCTAAACATACTTTCTAATAACATTCTGATGCTCAGTTTTAAAAATGAATCAATATTCTAAAAATCAATACTGCAGGAACTCTAGCCATGGTTTTCAGTCACACAAGCAGTCAAGTCACAGAAGCTAAAGGTCACGTTCTGCTATGGAGGCTTCCATACATTTACAAGGCAGGGTTGGTAATTTTTTTCCAGATCCACTTTTTAAGATTTTGGTGTAAATTGTCTTTAGGTCCTGACAGACATTAATAACTCAGGCGCTCTGACAAAGGGAAAAATAAAATCAGTCATCTGTAGCAGTTGTAAGCCTGTAAAAACTTTGACCAATGTCTGCCACGAGGTACCAATCTGATGAGCCAATCAGACGCCTCCCTGTCTCCCTGCTCGCTCTCTACCTCATGCTTGCCCACACTCAAGGCACGTCACTGATGACAAAGTTTGTGAGTAGTAAAATAGTCAGGTTTTTTTTACGTGTATGATGTGCTGAGGTCCGCTTCTGGAGGCACGGCGCTGGTGCATGTAAGTGAGGGGGCGTGGCTTTAGAGGGAACACAAAGGGGAGGGGGTGTAGACTGAGCACTGAGGGAATGCTACTTTCAAAGTCATGCTAGTTTTTAAAAATGATCAACCCTGAGTTTAATGTTGGCTGAGCAGTAAGCACACAACAGTCTGTGTTTTTTTTTTTTTTTTTTTACAACAGATCAGAAGTTTCATTATACAATACATATACAGATACAAATGCAAACCAACAAATCAAATGCCTCATATTATATTTGAGAAATACTTCTGCATGGCTACACGATGTCAGTGTCCGAGTGTCCTCTGTCCACATTAAACACTTCTGTGTGGGCATTACATTTTTGTCATGCCTCAGTCACATTCAGTCTTCCCACACAAAATAAACAAAAAGGCTCAACAAAATCCCCCCCACCAGAGAGCACATTCTAACTTTGTTTATTCCTAATATTTTTATTTCAAAGAAGTTAAAGTTCGACAAATTAGACAAGAGCAATATTAGAAGAACATTCTGTACCTTTAATAAAACTTGCTTCACTGTACTCTTGGGGATTTCTAGTATTGTATATCATATATATAATGTGAAATCTAGAGAGGATGAAGTTTGGGGTTTGATTCACTATGAGTATGCTAATGCTTTAAATCATACAAAACATTTATTACTTTTGACTCAAGGACGGGTGTGGAGAACAGCCAGCAGCATATTCTGTGTGTCTTGGTGTCATGTTGGTGCTGAATGCAGCATGCTGTGTTTTTATTGCTCCTCGGCACGGCAGCCATTGAGGAAACACGACATGATTGGTGTTTTTCAGGGACTATTTTAAGGTTTTTAGTGTCTGTGGTGCTGGTCCTGCTGTGCAGTGTAACACTTCATCATCTTTGCCAAATGAGTCACTTTTAGAAGCTGTGGAAACCTGTTTAACAGAATGAGGAAGAAATGGAGAAAAGGAGGAAAGAATGTGTAACATGTGAAGCCCGGGCTCAGCTGTTATTTTCCCTGATGACAACCTTCAGTATGGTGGCCAAAAAGGGCAAATGTCCCATAACAGATGAACCAACTTACATGAGAGAAAATCATGCGGCAAACTAATCTGTATTCATTCAAAAGCAAACACAAACACCCAAAACAAATACAGGGACTGAAACATGCTGCAGATGAGAGAAACGGGTTGCTTCAGCCACTCTACTGCACTACCACTAAAAACTTTACAAATCCAAAATGTTGTATTATATTCACTTTCAAGTTTAATGGAATTCAGTTTCCAACTAGAAACATTTATTCAAATTCGGTATGGAAACTCTTCAAACTTTACAATAAAAAATAAAATGTGATGATTTAATTTGAGATATAAATTCTTTAAATTCAGCTTCTACTGTCACATTTCTACTGCATTACGTGTTTCTTCTTTTTCAAAATTCATGCACATTTAAATCACAATGTTACAACATGAACGACGACCTTAAATGAAATTCTAATGACACAGAACAGAGTCCATTCAGAGAAAAATCTGAATGATAAGAAAGATGGAAGGAGCCTGGAGGAATATATCCAGGGAACACACGAAGGGAAGGAAGCAGACACGTCATGCCCGTTCACACTGGAGGGGCTTTTTCAAAATCTGACTGCAGAACTCCCAGTAGTCACATACTGAACACAACCTTTCAAAAAGTCCAGTTCTCACAGCGTGTAAATGTTTACTGCATGTTACTGGTTAAAAACAAGTGAACTGATGAGACAAATTAAACTGAAGGGAAAACGCAGAAAGGAATGATACCAAACTAAAACAATAAAAATATTACACTAAAGACAAGAGCTTAAAAAATAAACTAAAACCACAAATCAGGAATATGACAGAAATTACACTAAATAAGGAACACAGGGCTGAAATGATTAAAGGAAACAATCAATTAATTATGAACAATGAAACCACCTAAACAAGAACTGGTGACAGAGAGTTATTCACCACAATTACATGTTGGATGTGTTTTTTTAAAGGACATAATTATGGAGGGGAAAATAATAATTTTGGCTTCAGAGATACTTCCCACGATTGGTGTGTCTGGTGAGGCCATGGTTGTGATGCTTCTCTTTGTTGTTGTGTTGTAAACTCTAGGACGTTTCCACATGTGAAGACACTCTGTGTGTAAAAAGTGTGACTACAAGCCCACAGCATCCAACTCTCATTTCCCCATCTGTACCTCTTTCATTGTCTGGATACACAACTGAGGACCTCATGGCTAACAACAACCACCTTAAGGTAGACTCGTCTTTATATTGTTTGACCCACTCTTTAACATAGAATCATTATCTAATACTGTACTTCTAAGGGAATGAAATGTCCATTTAAGTATTTTTCTGTTTACCTTAGACATAAATGTAAGTCCATGCGTGTTTGCTTGTTTTTGTGTAGTTACCAATCCCAGAGGTGAATGAGGACAGATGCTGGGAAACTGAGGAGACTGATCTTAGCCCACCAGGAGAAATGTCCAGTGATGGGACACGTTCCAAGTCGACCAGTGAGTATCACACAGTTTTCATTAAATACAAAAAACGTTCTTATAGCTGAGATTACGTTTAGCCTTTATGTTGTCTTCTACAAATAAAGACATGAAATGATTCCACAAGTGACTAACTATTCACATGTGATCGAACACAGTCTGGTGTTTACATTGAAAAAGCTTTGTGACATGAGCAAAGTGATGCATTCATGTTCATGGACGTATAGCACAGGAATATCATTTTGTCCGATGTTGACGAGCACCCTGAAGTTAGAGATAAGTTTAGTTCAGTTTAGTTTATTTGCACATTTTTTGAAAGAAGAGTCAAACAGAAAATTTAAACAAATGAAAAATAAAACACATGTGCAGGTGAGGTAGAAACCCATGAGGGCTTATCTCAAAACCTCACCTGAAGAGATTAAAGTTAAAATAAAATAAAATACAGGAAAAATAACAAAGTAAGAATATTAACTATCACAAATCAAATTTACCCAATTGAAAATGACATACAAACACTGAAAACATAAAAATAGAGCAAAACAGGACATACAGTATGCAGACAATATAACAAAATCAGGACAATTCACTATTCACTACAAATCTTTCTGACATCAATGCATTTCTGAGTCTCAATTTGTATCTAGAAAAAGACAAAAAATCAGTAAATAAATATGCGTGTTCCATAATTTGACTCCACGGTATCTTAGTGAGTCCTCGAGATGTACGACACATTGGTAGGTATAGGTTATTGATTTGTCTAGTTGAGTAATAGTTCACTTGAGAATGAAAAATGAAAAATGCTTTAAAGCTTTCTGGTAAGTTTGCACTCATGTATTTAACTTTAAAAATAAAGCTACTTACTTGAAGAATATTAATATCAAATATTGTCAATATGTTACACTTCAGAAAAAGAGGGGAGGTTGCATCACAGGACTTGGAGAAAGTTGCCATTCTGACAAAACGTTTCTGGAGTAATAGAATTTTATAAAGATATGTTTGGAAAGTTACTGTTTTACTTTAAATGAAGACATAGCACAAAAGCCTATATTTTTTCACGACTAAGACAAAAGGGCACTGAAGAAAGCAGCAATTCATTGTTTACACTGTACAACTTTTATTTTTCATTATCAGTTTGGGTCTATTTTTTCTAATTGCAGTAGTTAAATGAAAAATGTGTTAAATGTTTGAGCTTGGAAAAAATATAGTCAGGTGTCAAAATTGGAAAATTATGGTGATTTTGGCTAAATGAATATTCAATTGCCCTTTAAATATTCAAACTGATAAGAACAGAGTGAACCATTAAGTGCTGTGCATTGTGGAGGCTGATCTGTTTAAAAGGGCAGTCAAAGCTTTTAGAGTTATTATGACAGACAATGGGAGGGAGGAGAGAATGATGGGGAAATTGTCTCTAATACGTTTACTGTCTGTAGGGAGGTGTGAGGCCAGGGGTTTACATCCTTATAGAAACAGGAAGCCACACCGCTTATGGGAAATGTGGTCCTAATTGAATAAAGAGACAGGCTACATCCTCTGAGAAACCAAAAAAAAACAGCACTATAATTCTAAACTATGATCTCTCTCTAGACCAAACCATGTGCATGCCTAAATTTAGGAATAGATGAGGGGCAAAGTCAGGTGAGATTAGAGTACAGACTTGAAGTAGAAAACATACAATAGACACACAACAACTCTCTTGGCCTGATTCACTCAGAATAAATTCCAGCTGCTAAAAGTTGGAACTTGTACATCTTTTGCTTCCACTATCTACTCCGTCTCAGGGTCGAATTTTTACAGTGCTAATGATATGCATGTGCAATCTCCTCCAAAACTTTTTGACCTGTTCCCTGCAGTTTGTATATTGTCTTGTGTCTTAATGTGGAGAGAAGCTTGATTTTGACTCTGCACAGAGTAAAGTTGGTGTTGTCTCTGCACCTCAGATTGTGTGCTACGTATCTAGCAACACGCCCGAAACCCCTTTGGGCCACGAGCTTTAGCCAGCGTGCTTTAAATGGTAAATGGACTTGAACCTGTACAGTAAAGCGCTTTTCTATTCTTCTGACTACTCAAAGCATCTACACAGCAGGTCACACCCATTCATTCAGTGATGCCAGAGGCTGCCATGTAAATGGACCATCAGTATTAACAGATCTATACACATTCACATGCTGCTGACATAGCATGTGTGAGAACAACACATGGACATGTGGCTGCAGGAGCTGGGGATTGAACCCCAGACCTTCTGGTTGGAAACAACCAACATACTAAATGTATTATAGTAGAAACTATCTGATGCATAAAACAAACATTTAATACAATTTTTGCATTTCGAAATAGAAACAAAAATGTATTAAATACAGTATTAAAATAACATATCAAAATGTATGGTTTTTACTGCCCCCCAAAGTCTACATGCAGATTTACCCTCTTTTTGTGTAGGTACTTTGATTTAAACCTTATTGTTATTTTCTGATAAGAACGTGTGTTTTACCAGATGTTCATCCCTACTGGATTGGGGATCTGGACAGCATCATCATGAAGACCCCGGGGCTATATACCAGTCACCCTCGTGTGAGCACTGGTTTTTATGGAAACAGGAAGTCTCTGTCCCAGCAGCTGGATTTTACTCACACCACTACACAGGTGATTCATTGTCTGATATTATAAACAGAATACATGAGAGATCACATCTGGCCATTACAAATGTTCAATAACATCACCATGAGGGAAGGAAGTCTTATAAAACAAAAGTATGAAACATTTATTCTAGTGTTATGTAACGACACTCAACAAGCATGAAATCTTTGATTCTCTGCTGGAGGTTTTAGAGTTTAGAGAGAGGAGAGTTTTATGACAACTGTGATGATAGAGATGCTAAGAAAAGTCCATCAGTGTGTGTGTGTGTGTGTGTGTGTGTGTGTGTGTGTGTGTGTGTGTGTGTGTGTGTGTGTGTGTGTGTGTGTGTGTGTGTGTGTGTGTGTGTGTGTGTGTGTGTGTGTGTGCATGCTGCTCATGTCCAGCCCTTACAGCGACCGTCCCGCTCCCTCAGCTCTGCCCAGCTGCTACACTCCTGCAGCAATGTGCAAGCCTTCATCATCTGTAACATTGTTCTGATGAAGGGCCAAGGCAAGGTAGGAACATCACACCTCTAAAAGTTCTAAAAGATTCATTACTAAACTGTGTCCAATGTTGTGATCAAAAGTAACCAAGGCTCTCTGTCCTTGTTGCTCTTCACTCCCTAATTGTTCCCATCAGACTCCTGCAGCTGCTGGAGAGTAAGAGCAGCAGTTAGTACTTTCCACTTTGTGTCGATATAAAAAGAGCTATATGTTATTTCCAGGGATGAGTATGATTGACGTCGATTTACTACTAATGTACCTGCACACATGTTTTTATAAGCTACAATAGCTCAACTCAGTTAGTGTTACATGCACCATGTCAGCTCTGGCTAGTAAAAGAGATGTCTAAGTACTTTCAAACAAAAAAAAATAATGGTAATGTGAAATGGTCAGGTATGCTCACACATAGACTGTGCTCTCAATGTTCAAAAGTACAACATGTCTACATGAGGCAATAGTGCAGTGGTGAGTAGTGCAAACGATTATATTTAAGGAAGTAATTAGGTAAAAGATGTGTAACTTCTTTGTGCTATGAATCCTTTTTTCAGTACACAACTCAGGGACGAGCAGTAAAGTGCATTTAAAGAGTTAAAGGTAAAGTATCTTTAGAGCGAGTCTAAGCAATTTACATCAGCTTCTTTTTACATAAACTTCTGTAACTCAAGGTAATGATTGAATTTAATAATCACAAATGATATCATCCCCAAACCCAATCTTCACCCGATGTTCTAAGCCCTGAACCCTCATGGACTTTATAGTCATGTGTGTAACGCCTGGAGTGTGTGACTTGAGATGGTAAACAGTTAGGCATGGGTCACACTTTCATGACATCACAGATTGCCTGGAAATGAGTCCCTAAATATTATAAAGATTTACAGTAAAGCAACACTACAGGGTTTATATTTATTTATTTGTTTGTTCATTTATTTATTGATTTATTTATTCATTTACTTATTTGTTTGTTTGTTTGTTTATTTATTTACTTATCTATTTATTTATTTATTTATTTGTTTATTTATTTGTTTATTTAACATGGACGTACAGTAACATTGGTGCTGTAACATTTAACCATGCACAAGTTCCAGATGCACTGCTCTTAGTGCTTATATGAGCTCATGTGCGTTTAGGTGTGGGAACAATGTTGTTTCTCCTGCAGCCATGATTTAATACCTTTGCTAAGCATATTGTGTACCTCTAATACGCGACAATGGGGCCTTCTTATTGTTTTTTTGTCCATGATTTTGAATGACTGGTTGTATAGGGATATGATTGGCTTTAAAGTTGTTTGTGAGGCTTGAGACCAAGAACTGCTGCAGTATGATAGATGTGATAATATCATAGCATGCATATATAGCTGGGCTGTACTAAATGATTCTGAAGCAGTTTAGATTAGCTCTAACTTTTTTGTGTTATAAAGTGTAGCAAACAATTCATTTGTAAATATATAACAGAAAAAAACAAACTCTAAAAATGTTATTAATGATCTCTAATGATGTTGAAGATAATAATAAGACTTTTTGCCTTAATATCAATGCTATGTGTATATATATTAATTACGAGCACGTGGACCGTACTGGTTGCGTCAGTGGTCATGCAGCGATCGCAGTGAAGAAATGTCAACACACTCTACCACTCGCTCAAGATGAATCCTCCTGATTTTATTCAGCTGCATTCTTGCATCAGCTCTCTCAGTCTGTGGAAAAATCTGTTTGCATTCACACATGCAGCTCATCCGGAAAATAACTCTTAGTCTTTGAGTGTGATGATTGGAATTGGATGTGTGGTTGTGATTGTGATTATATTTCAATTCAAACATTTTAGTGTGTAGTAATTGTATTAATATCATGATCCTCCTGCTGTGTCTAGGGTCTGGGTTTCAGTATAGTGGGAGGGAGTGACAGCATCTATGGACAGATGGGGATCTATGTCAAGACCATTTTTCCTGAAGGGGCCGCAGCTGCTGATGGAAGACTGCAGGAAGGTAAGTTTGCAAAGTTAAGGAAAGGGTTAATGTGTTTCTCTATAACTATTTACTGCTCATAATTTAGCTCTTATTAGTGCCTTACTCTATATGACCATCATCTATAGCTAATATCAATCAATCAATCAATCAATCAATCAATCAATCAATCAATCAATCAATCAATCAATCAATCGATCAATCAATCAATCAATCGATCAATCAGTCTTTATTTGTATATGATCTTATTATATTTTTTCTTACTTCTACCTTTTAAGGGCCATACTTAAAAAAACTTTGTTTCTGTTGTCAGATTTATTGTCCAACTACAGTTTGTGTCCCAACACAAGCAAACGTCGACTCATCAGATGTACAGATTTGAATGCCTCTGGTTTCTGCCTTTGCATAGGAGATGAGATCCTGGAGCTGAACGGAGAGTCCCTACATGGACTGTCTCACGATGAAGCCCTGCACAAGTTCAAAGTACGGAAACCTCATTTTCATCCTCACAACATTATTCCTGATCAGAAGACATGGTCCTAAGTGCAAGCTGCTTATTACAACACATTCAGTTTTTATTTTGTGTGATCATAACCTTGAACTATGATTTCTTATACTTGTCAATATTTCATTTCAACAAAGCAAAGTCTGACAAACAACAAAACAAGGAACATTTTAAGCAGCCATCATATGTTACACATTACACTGAACTAAAATATGTGTTTCATATTTATGTATATTTATTTCAAATGTGTTTGTTCAGCAAATCAAAAAGGGCGTGCTGACTTTGGTGGTGAGGACCAGCCTGCGTGTGGGGGCCCTGTGTGGTCCGGCACAGGTAGCTCATCTATGCAGGTCGCGCTCCCTCAGCTCAACCACAGGCACAGCAGGGGTCAGTGCTGACACGGGAGACTACAACCAGCTGAACACACAGAGCGAGGGGCAGCTCACCAAACCCAGAGATCGCATCATGATGGAGATCGTCCTGCAGAAAGGTCAGTGTCAGAGGACAGGGTGGATCGTAGAGGAAGATCATCTTTCAGTGTCATGTGATTTAGAACAGGATTGTTAGTCGTCTCAATCACCCTTATCTTTCAATTTAGACTTACTTCAAGTTTATAATACCAACCACACTGTAATGGTGTTTAATCTTTCACTTATTACAAAGACCATCATGGTCATATTGTCACATAATTAGCAGCCCTAAGACCTCCAGGATCTTTAATGATGTGAATCATGTATAGCATTATTTAGCTGCAGCTTAGATAGATAGACATGGCTCAGTGCTTGAATCAGTTGTATTTCAATCAGAAGAATTCCTCACATGGGGAAGTATTCTTTGGCAAGACAGTGAACCCCAAATTGCTCCCGATTGGCATAGCCAGCGGCATGTAATGTGTATATATGGTATTAGATAATACTGATGGGCACTCCACCATCAGTATATGAATGTGTTTGTGAATGGACTAATGTGAGGTAGTGTAAAGATAAGAAGACTAATGACATTTAAAGAAGTCTATTTATCTGCCATCTATCCAATAGAGCATGTCCATGATGTGCTTTTCTCTAAAAACATTTACCTTGTCTTCACTGACAGATGGCTGCCACTCTTTATTCCTTCTTTCCTCATGAAAAAAATAAATATTAAATTTAAATATTAATATAAAAAATTTAATATAAAATATTAAATATAAAAGTTTACTTTTTTAAGATCTGGTTTTAATCTTAAATTTTATATTGGGAAAGAAAAGCAGCTCTCCTTTAGGTTTACAACAATGAGAAAGTGATACATTTCCTAATTTCATTTGTTTGTTGTTGTTTTTTTTGGTGGGGAAAATCAGTTGTACTTAAATACCCTGACCTGCACAAATATAGTTTGAGCTGTTCTTTTTGATGCACAACAGTTCACATCCTCTTCTATACCACAGGGTAGTTCCCAGATTACTGTGTTTTTGTCTTTTAACAAATATCCCCCTGGCATGTTGTGTAAATGCTTAAATCAGATTTCTGAATTCAAACAGCCACCTCTAAAAATGTTGTAATAAAAGTTCATGTGAATGTGTGATTCCCAGAGGCCGGAGTTGGTCTGGGTATTGGATTGTGCTGTGTTCCATCTGGTGACGGATGCCCTGGGATCTACATCCACAATGTCTCTCCTGGATCTGTAGCACATATGGACGGTAGACTCCAGTAAGAGGGATTACTACAGGGGGTATGAACAGGGTTGGAAGGGTGCTAAAATGTCCACACAACTATTTCACAGCAGTTAGAAATGATTTAAAGTCCATGCAAATTGATATGAAATAGTCTTTTTCTAAGATGGAGTAATGTTGTGTGAAGCAGAGTAGAGTTTGTAATGACACATTTGATTAATTGTTCCTCCATTCGGTAGGTGTGGGGATGAGATTATGGAGATCAACACCACTGTGGTTCACAACATGGCACTGAATGACGTCTACACAGTCCTGAGCCAGTGCACACCGGGTCCGGTCCACATCATCATCAGTCGACATCCTGACCCCAAAGTACGCTCTACAGTAGTGTTTCCTCCTGGGTTCAGCTGTGGTGCTGCTAGCTGTGCTACACTGCTTGCACTTCCTCTGGCTTTCAACTTGATTTTCAAGCTATTTGTTTCATCGACACTCCGTCTTGTATGAACTTGTTTACACGTGGTGTTAACATGCTGGGTCTGATTAAGAAGGGACACATGGTTCACTCCTCCCATCTAGATGCATTACCTCCTACACTTACAGTTTCTTTACTGAAAAGAAAACATCAACTGATTCAATAAATGAAGTGATTCCTTGTCGCATTGCTACAAAATGGGATTCATCCTGTATTTCAATGCAGTCCTCTAAACTCTGTTTTCACAGTCTTGGGTTGAAATGAGAACTTATAAAACCCATCAAGTTTCAGAGGGACTTTCAGAGAAACATGAACCCAGCTCCTGCTGTCTGCATGTCCAAGTGTTGTTGGACAAGATACTGAACCAATAATTCTCCCTGTGGCACAGCTAGCAGCGTGTGTTTACATGTGAATTGGATTAGTTAGTATTGACACCTAGCCCCAAGAAAGCATCCTCTGGCCTCAGTGTATGAATTGTACACCAATCATCCAAAACATTATGAGGGGTTTTTGCTGTATTGATAGGAAGGTGTTAGAACAGACCGTGTTAAAGAGCTACAGGAGCATCAGAACTGGTCCACGGAGCGGTGGGAACATTGGTGTGATTTCTGCTATGCTATAATTGTTGGTTGTTCTGAGACTGTGGAACAACCTTCCTGAGGGTCTGAGAGGAGAATATTGAGATTTTTAAACGCAGTCTTAAAACTAATTTATTCAGTCTGCCTTTTATATAAATTCAAAACTTAACATTATTGTTTTGTCTTTTTTATCCTACTACAATTTTAAATATTCTTCTCCTATGTATTAATTTTAATATCTTATTGCTTTTATATGTCGTATTTTATTTTTTAATTTTTATATATATATATTTTTTAATTCTTATTGGTGTGCATTAGTCTCTCAATGATTTTATAAACTACTTTGTCATCAATAACTTTTCTGCACTCTTGTAAAGCACTTTGAACTGCAATTTAATTTGTCTGAAAGGTGCTATATAAATAAAGTTTGACTGACTGATTGATTGATATAAGTAGCCATATCTTTGGTTTTAAGGCTAAAATTAAATATATTTTATTCTTTCACAAGGATGTTATATTTGCTCATGTACTCTTCATGTCCTTAAGTAGTGTATTTAATGATCATCACTGCTTCTTTGTGTCACAGGTATCTGAGCTGCAGCTGAATGTTGCCATCACTGAGGCAGTGGAGAACAGCAAACTGAGGAAGGATCGGAGCCAGTGGAGTATTGATGGTGAAATATTGATTTGTTCATCATTCTTTTGCCACTTGTCACATACACAGGCCTGTTCAGGTCCGCAGCTTTGCTGGAACTTCGGGTATTCTTCTCATGAACAAATTGTCTCAATGCTTTTTTTTAAGTTGGATTTTCACATTTCTGTGAATTATTTCACAACCCTTTGATCAACTTTATTTTTTAAATAGTAAACCTGCTATTCATTCACAAGAGTGCTTTCTTTGAGGTAGGTTTTAGTGTTTTTATAAAAGTGATTAATATGTGTACTGCTTTGTTAAAGATTTATAAATCTTTATAAAACTCTTCATCAATGTTTAACAACCAGAATCAGAATCAGAATCGGGGTTTATTGCCAAGTATATCAAAATAGCCTCTATGAGCCCTTCCAGTCCGGTTTCAGCCCCCGTCACAGTACAGAAACTGCTCTACTAAAAATCACCAACGATCTCCTCATTGCTTCTGACTCCGGCTTACTTTCCATCCTCATCCTTCTTGACCTGAGTGCAGCCTTTGACACTATCTCACACCCCATCCTCCTCAGTAGACTCTCCTCCATTGGCATCACTCACACGCCCCTTACCTGGTTCCACTCTTATCTCTCAGGCCGCACTCAGTTCATACAGCTCAAATCCTTCAAATCTGCGCCTTCCCCAGTCACTACAGGTGTGCCCCAGGGCTCTGTCCTGGGGCCCCTTCTCTTCATCACCTACCTTCTCCCCCTTGGCAATATTTTCCGTAAATTCAATATACTTTTCCACTACTTTGCGGATGACACCCAGCTCTACCTCTCCAGTAAACCAAACTCCACACTTCCACCCTCCTCCCTCACTTCTTGTTTATCTGAAATAAAATCCTGGTTCTCCTCAAACTTCCTTAAATTAAACAGTGATAAAACTGAGATCCTTCTCGTCGGCATTATTATTATCGGCCCATATTATCCAAAGTTGGCAGTTTCTCCCTCACTATTGACAGCTCCTCAGTTTCCCCTTCCCCTCAGGTTAAGAGTCTGGGTGTCATCCTCGACAGCACACTATCATTCAAATCCCATATCATAACATTACCCGGTCTGCATACTTCCACTTACGAAACATCAACCGTCTCCGCCCCTCCCTCACCCCCCATACTGCCTCCATCCTTGTCCACAGCCTCGTCACCTCCCGTATTGATTATTGTAATTCTCTCCTCTTCGGCCTCCCTCATAAGTCCCTCCATAAGCTCCAACTGGTTCAAAACTCTGCTGCCTGTATTGTCACCAAAACCCCCTCATACCATCACATCACCCCCATCCTACAGCAACTCCACTGGCTCCCGGTGAAGCAAAGAATCATCTTCAAACTCCTCCTGTACACCTTCAAGGCCATCCACAACCTTGCCCCTCCATATCTGTCTGACCTCCTTCACATCGCCACTTCAGCCCGCTCCCTCAGATCCTCCTCCTCCATCCACCTCACCGTGCTCTTTGCCTGCCTCAGCACCATGGGGGGGCAGAGCTTTCAGCTGCTCTGCTCCCCAGCTCTGGAACTCTCTGCCACCGGACATTCGCAATATTGACTCTCTCCCCATCTTCAAATCCAGACTCAAAACCCATCTGTTCAAGATCGCTTACTCACTCTGACACTTTAAACTGCAATTCCACTGTCCACAATTCCATTTCTTTATTGTATGCTGTTTTTGTTATCCATCGCTGTTTTTAAAAATGTTGATTGTTGTACAGTGTCCTTGTGTGTCCTGAAAGGCGTTTATAAATAACATTTATTATAATTATTATTGTTATTAAGTACATTTACACATACAAGGAATTTGACTTGGTGTATTGGTGCTAAACAATTAACAAGGAAATAAAGCAGAACTAGCAACAACTTAAATAATACAGTATAAGAAGATATTACAATATATAAAATAGAATTTAAAAATATAAAATATAAAAAACACAAAATGTATAAAAGGTGTAATAGGAGCTGTGCAGTGGACTATGAGAAAAAAGTGTTACACTTAACAGATCTTGTTATAATAGATGATGTGTTTTAAGTTGAACTTTCATTATGTTTTATACTTTGATTATAGAGTTTGAACTGTGGAACAAAGAATCTTACTCATTGCTAAAATAACACTTTGTAACTGCAGACCAAAGATGTGTGCGTCGAGTCGGCACCAGAAAAACTAGTCCATTAAACGAATGACTAACATTTATATATGTTGACAGCCGGTCGGATGTTACTCTGATGTAGCCCCTAATGACTGGCTGTGGCTCTGGTTATTGGGCCTGCTCAACCCGCTCTGATGCCCTGTGAACAGATAGCATTGGATAGGAGCAGCCTGGCCTGGCAGTATTTTGATCTAGAAAACAGAGAGTCTGGTTATACTGACAAATCCAGCAGTGCAATATGTAACCACATTTAGCACCGATATGCTGTCTGTTTGTTAACCTGCTGAAAGAACCCAAAACTGGCAGTTCCAGCATTGCTTACTTTGGCCACCATCGGAAAACCAAGTTATGTCGCTTACCTACAGAATATTTAAATAAATCGTGTTTTCTTACATTAAGACTAATCAGTTGGTCTGAATATTAATTTCTCTTTGACCAACCAGCAGATGAGTTACCTCCCTATTCTTATCCCAAGTTTTAAAGTTACAAGCTCCAATCCAGATGAACTTTGATTTCATTATGTGATTTATTGTATTTGTCTTTAGAAACCCTCCCTTCACTACATCATCTGCCCAGGGACAACAGATGGAAATTAGCTAGTTAGCTAAATCTGCTACAAAGCATCTCTTCTCTTCTGAGACTAACATTTTATTTTGTACACTGTCCCTGATTCAAATAAACTAATATAATGAAATAAACTACATTTTTCTGTCCCAGGGATGCGTAGACTGGAGGCCTGCTCTCACAGCCTGCAGAGATGTGAGCGTTGTCTGGAGAGGAGTTTCAGTCAGCTTAGGGTTCAACGAGCACAGAAAACCATGACCCGCTCCTGCAGTGACAGCACCAATAACCACCAGCGCAACTGCTGCCTGATCATCCACAACCCCCATCCCACCCACCATAACCCGTCAGGCCGGGTCCACAGCCTGGACACACCCAGGGTAACCAGACATACTGCAGGTTGTGTAGAGAGAGATGGAAGGAAGTTAACAACTGGTCAAAATACAGACTTAAAGTCCTGCTGTCTCACATATCCTGCAATGTGTTTATTTTGTAACATTCCTGTCTTGTAGTGTACAACAAGAACATGGTCTGACAACAGACTGTCAGTACCTGTGTATCCCGATGAAGACTATAATGTCCCATACATCCCCTCTTCAGCCAACTCGTCCAGTCAGCAGGCTCTGGACCTGGCCCTCAGGGGAAACAAGGTACCACATCCTGGTTCTCATTTCATCATTCCTCTGTTATCATGAGGTTTGTGTTGTTGTGCACATAGTGATGCATTATAGGAAATTATGTTGAAGGGGAGAAAATATCCATTTAAAAAATGGAACCAAAACTATAATGACTGTTAAATAAAAAACAGACTTACTAGATGGAGTCTCTCCAGCTTCCTCCTAACCGGCCTGGTTGTCACAATCAGGTAAAGGCACTTTAAAGGTTTAGGGTCCGTTTACATTCAGGCAGTTTGTTTCTTTGAATGTACACGGACCAGTCAAAATTAGGAAATGGCTTGTTTGCCCTTTTTTGCACAATTCTGAAAAACGGTCAAATTTAGTTTTCTGTCATTTCTTTTTTTCTTTTTTACCTAAATGATTTAAGGAATGGAGAGGGGAGGTCATGTGTCAAGGAAGAAAAGTAAAAATGTCAAAACAAAAGTCTCTGGGAACAAAATCAGATAGGTAGATAGAGCTCAGATTTTAGTGAATATTCTTTTTAATTGATGCCATGTATTGATTTAAATGTGATGACATTTGGCTTGATTGGTTCTGTGACACCCACAAATATGTAGTCAGAACTGCTGAGAATAAGTCATTTTATGAAAGGAATTACAATTGTATATACACATTAATCATACCAATTGTAATGAATGTTTGTGATTATTTTGGATTTTATTTCTTGAGCTGCAGTTACTCATTTCAGCCACCAGAGGGATTACCTCCTGACGTGAGCACTAGTTATGGTGACTCCAAAGAACATAGGTTGGGAATCACAGATAGCCTATAGTTGTAGTTTATAAACTACAGTATAAACTATTGGTAGTGAATAAACACTAATGAAGTGAATGTTTATGTGTTAAAGACTTCTGTTGAATGATGGTGAAAATTGTGTTGTGTTTAAAATGTCGACAAATGCAAACTGAGAAGACTTAACTGAAATGAATTGGCCTACGAGGTGTTGGGTGGCATATCAGCTCATGTTATTATTGAGCTAATAATGAGACCTTTTCTCGCTATCATGACATCAGGATCTAAATTAGAAGAGATGTTTCCTCAAGTGAAGCAGCAACGATAACACACATTGCAGAGAAGGTTATTCCACTAGAAGAGTCAGGCATGCAATTCTCTGCATGCTTTAATTCAATTAAATTTTCAATTCAATTCAATGGCAGGCCTTCAACCAACGATCCGAGCTTTACTCGGCATTACACCTGCATATTGCTTCAACCTTTGAGCTTTGACTTGTAGTGGCTGCTTTAATAATCACCTCTGTGTGGACTGCCTGGAGGGAGCATGAACATAGAAGAATCCCTTCATTCTTCATATGAAGCTACTTTCTCCTAAACTCGTTTTAGAGCACATCATGTGTACTTTTCCCTGACTCACTTTTCTCCTGCTGTGCCACTGAAAATATACTGGCTTGTACTCCGTGTGTGGATCTATTCCAACAAATGCTCTGGGTGCTCTCGTAATGCTGATCTATGTTGCTTTATATCTATGCAACACGTGTATTACATAGTGTGCCACTTTCATCCAATCCTATCTGTTCATTTTTTATAATTACTCTTCCCTAAAGCTTCCAAATGCCTCAATACTCATGAGACATAAATGTTCATGCCTTTCTGTTCACCATTCTACTTGATTTATATTTTGTTTATTCAAAAAAAGCCAAATCCATTGAAAAGCTATTTTCAATTTACATAAAGAGCAGCTCTTGACTGTACTCTTTGTTATATTGCTGATATAGTTATATCATTTCATGTGATTACATCTCTCAGGGAGAGGAACACATGTGAGTCAGATAAGTGTATCACCAGCATGTTGTCTCTTCCATCATTTAGTCAAAAATAAGATAGATTGTTCAGTTTCTTCACATTTTTTTTAAACCTTTACTACAGCTGTGTGTGTGTGTGTGTGTGTGTGTGTGTGTGTGTGTGTGTGTGTGTGTGTGTGTGTGTGTGTGTGTGTGTGTGTGTGTGTGTGTGTGTGTGTGTGTAGTCTACATGCAGAGTGCATGCTGCTCCATCTCAGTACTGCTGGCCTCAGGATGTGACCAGTGAGGAGGGTTATAATGGAGACTCCAGTGGCTCCAGTAGAGAATCCCCATTAAGAGAAGAAGGACTGGCTCTCTCATCAAACACCAGCTGCCAGGTACACACTATGTTTAGTCATTGTAGCTGTAAACAGTGCCTTATGTTTGCGTCACATTGACAAACATGCATGTCTTTTGTGAGTATAGGTCTTGTCCTGTACATACTGTACATGTGTAAGTTGTGTTTTATGATGAAAAATCTCATTCTGGCTTTCTTTAACTTTTGGCGCTTTCACAATGGCACAAACTCCTGAAAACTTCCTGAAATGTTCAGGGTGAGCTGCATGAACAAACTCAAGCAGCTGACTTTTTCTATCCAACCTTACCCGTACCCGTTACTGCCAGCGCCCTACTGAATTTCCTGTGTCAAGTCAGAGTTAGCTGATGTGAGAAAAAAACAGGAAATAATCAGGAAGAAATCACCATGACTGAGCGGAAGAGGATGGTGACGTTTATATCCTGCAGCCTGAAGCACGACCACAGACTCATATCATAATATATATATATAAGATATAATGCATATGTCCAGCTACTCTTAGCATTGAAATAAAGGGAACAATATCATATTAGCGTCGTTGCAACAGTGTCCTTCCTCCTGAGATCCCTCATCCCCTCTATTTTTACCATTTATTTTTGGGCTTATTATGCCATTATTTTAGAGAAGAAAAAAAACCTGGGGAGAGAGAGAGGAATGACATGCAGCCACAGGTCAGATTCCAACCCGGGGCCGCCCGCTCTCAAAGACTACAGCCTCTGTTCATGGGGCTCGCACTCTTAACTGTTACAAATGCCTCCCTCCCCTTTGAACAACTAATTAAAGACAACTGGGGCAGGCTGTCTGAAACTTTTTTCAACAAAGTTCCAGGAGTTTCTGAAAATGACTTTTTAAAAACACAATACTCACGAGCCTCTTCACAAATGCACTCTTGAAAATGGCTTCCCCTGAAATCTTTGCCTGTTCACATAAACATCTCCCAACAGAGACTTTTCCTGTCTCCTCAGACGAGACATGATGGAAACAGAGGAGTCAATGCTATGAAGACCGTTTTTTTGCTTTTATGTCATTGCTGTGAGTAACTGAACTAATTACTAACGAATAAGTGGTTTAAGAACATACTGGCAAGCAGAAAAGATATGAAGCACCTCTTCTGGTTGCTCAGTAGTCACATGACATTGTGCAAATCACCCCAAACATGTCATGACATTTTCAGGAGTTTTGTGAATGTAAACAAAGGCTGTTTAGTAGCACGTGTGATAAACTGTATCCATACTTACTCTGTGGTAAAGACAAGAGGATACTGGAGATGTAACAGCACACACCTTATGAAAATCAGTCTCATTGCAATAAGAGTCTAATTAACTAACAGCCACACACAATGAGAGTGAAACATGAACATCAACTGCTACTGATAATGGTTGTTACGCACAAACTTTCCAGTGATTAGGAAAACAGTTCCACCTTTGTGTGACTTGAAAATAAATCTATAAAGTCTGTTAATATTACTTTGACTTTGTTTTTTTTAAATATAACCAAGGGTTTACTCAGTTTGGGGACAACAAGAGCAAACTCCATGGAGCAGGATCACTTCATGGGTGTGTTAGCGCTTTATGCCTTGTGAATAAGAACTTAAAACAGAGAAGATAGCGGAAGCAAATGATGAACAGGCAATCCAGTCTGAGTGAGTTTTTTCTGTGCAACTGAAGGAGAGGCACACTCTCTTCTCATCCTGTGTGTAGTCATGTGTCCCTGATTGTTCTTTTTGATGTATTATCTGAGAAGAATGATACATCACATGATCCTTTCTTTCCCCGGCAGTTCTTCACCAGTATGTACAAGGCATTACAAAAGATCCTGAGGTTGCTCTTGAGGAATGTATGTGAAGTGATGAAAGCATGCTGAACACCTCTGGCTTTTTATGATTTCATGAAATATTAAGTCTGTCACCCTGGGCAACCGTTTACATTTCACTACTTTCTCATTGCTGTATCATTTCACTTTATTTTACTTCTAAGTAAAGGGCATGCTCACATGAGGCAATCCGTACCGTGCCCTAATCCAGTTCCTTTGAGTAGTTTGAATGCTCCAATCCGGGCTTGGCCCTGGCACACTTCGAAGAGGTGTGCTTTGGCACGCTACAGTTCCAGAGGTGTCAAAAGTATTGACATCCATTACTCAGGTAGATGTATACATACTAGGGTTTAAAAAGACTTCTGTAGAAGTTGAAGTATCAACTCAAGTTTTTTACTCAAGTAAAAGTGTAAAAGTACTGGTTTCAAAACTACTTCAAGTATAAAAGTAAAAGTAATGTAAGGGAAAAAATGCCATTAAGGACAAAAGCTTAGGCCGCACCACAGGGGTCTATAGTGCACTACCCCACCTCCCCAAAAAAACATTTTTCTAAAGGCCATAATGACTATAATGTTATGTTAAAATGTTAATGTTGAAATATTTGGGATGCACCTGTTTCAGCCGCATTTATGCCCATTGAAAATGAACGCATTTTAGTACAATGCAAATACATTAAAGAACCATATATGGGTTCTACTGAGCATTAACATGTGTTTCATGGAGCGGAAGATATGATGACTAGTTGTCTATAAGTATTGTAATGGTGCAAAAAGTCAGACTTCAGAGGCATGTTATCAATAGCCTTTATTGGAATGTAAATGTACATCCAAGCTTAGCTGCAGGAATCTGTGAGGGCAACAGATGTAAGATAACAAACAAAGAAAATTGGTGTACAAAGGGCAGGCTTAGTAACAATTACCCTTGTATGGTCAAATTCACTATCCAGATGGCACAATTTATCTGGAAAGGTTTTTTTTTTTGTTTTTTTTGTGTTTTTTTGAACGATGACAAGCCGAAAGGAAATAGGAGTAACAAGGCTATTTTTAAAATGTAAGGTGCAGAAGTAAAAAGTCGGCTGAAAAATAATTACTCCAGTAAAGTATAGATACCCAAAATTTCTACTTCAGTAAGGTAAGTCAAGTCCGCCTGTCTTGTAAACTGAGCATGCCTCATAATAACATAAAGCCATGCATGTATTGTATTACCACGTCATGTACTAGAGGTCACCGTGCTCAGGCCCGGTTAGTCCCAGAGCAGTGTGAGTGCAGGCCGGCGGCAGAATGGGGAAGGGTGGACAATCATGCTTAAGCACAGTACTTTGCTAGTGTGAGTGTGCCCTAAGATTGTTCTGCAAATTAAACGTAATGTGTGATCTACTTGTTTCTATTATCAAATGCTAAATTAAATAGTTAATAAAAAAATAGGCAATATCTCATTATCATAAAAAATACAAGAAATGAAAATGACGGCTCGTTATAGATTATGACCCTGTCCGTCAAAATGACAGACAACTGTCACAGATGTGGGAAAACAAGGGAGGTGTACACAAGTGCAGAATAACCAAAATAATTTAATTCAACAAAAAGGCTAAAGGCAAAACAAAAACTTACTTTCAAATGTTCAACGAAAAAACATAGGGATCAAAAACAGAGCGCCACACAGGAGCACGAGGAAAAACTGACATCTCATCACACTGAAAACTGACATAGAAACAGAACGACAATGAACTGACACAGAGGGCAAGAAACACAGAGGCTAAATAGACATGGGGTAATCAGACAGAGGTGAGACTAACTACATCATGCCCACTGACCCCCATACCCTCTTTGAGTCCTGCCTCGGGCCGGAACACGGCCACCCACCCCCCTGCCGCTGGTGGGAGGTCTTCTCCGGGAGCTGCCCGGGTGGCCCGGGAGTCCGGACCTCAGGTTGAGATGGCGGGGGAGTTTCCCCTCCTCCGGGAGATCAGACAGGATCCAGTGTGGCCACAGTTCCCGGCTCTGATCCCTTATCAGGACTGGGCAGCAGCGGACCCGGAATCGTTGAGAGCTCCGGTCGCCACCTAAGCTTCAATTACAAAGATGGAGGGCTTCACAGACCGGGGGTTTCCTCAGGTACCTCCGTTGGAGGCCAATTTAACTGCCTTTTTTGGAGTGAGGGCCGCGGGGTCTGGGCAGCGTCCTGTCCCTCCGTCAGACCGAGACTGGCTGATGGTCAGACTGACTAACAGGTCCCATCAGGTCTGCTAACTGTCATGCGGCTGCTGGGCATGATGGGGCCGGCTCATACGGTGGTTCCTTTGGGCCTCCTCCACATGAGACGGCTGCAGAGGTGGTTTATTTGTCTACAGATCGACCCCGTGCTGCAGGCGGTTGCTCCGTGTATCGCTGTCCGTTGGGCCAGACTTGGCCCACTGGGGAAACCCCGGTGTGACGTCAGCGGGAGTAGGCTACCCCTCGGAAGAGCTACGTCACATATATCGGTGTACACAGACGCATCTCTCTCACGGTGGGGAGGGGTGTCTGTCCCGAGCAGTGGGGGGAGTGTGGCCAGCTCACATCTCTCTCCACGTAAATGGCATGGAGCTGCTCGCCGTGTGGGAAGTTGTTCAGCATTTCGCATCGCTGCTGCAGGAACAGATTCTATTAGTATAGGCGCAGCCCTTTAAGCTGTGGGCCCCACTGACTCCGGGAATGGCCGAAGAAAAGCCACACGGTCTCAGCCACATATATACCTGGGGGTGGACCATGGGTGGGGCCTGTCGTGTTGCATGTAAATTATTCCCACAGACGGTTCATAGAGCATTTATGTGTGCCTTTTATTGCCATTTTCACCTACATGACAATCCCTGTAGAATGCTCGTTAACTCAACAACTTCCTGTTACGAACGTGTGTGTCCTTCAAAATAAGAGCACATTGTAATACCAACAGATGACACCACATCTCCCTTTCTTTGAAAACTCTACAGACTGAACATCATGTCTATATTAAATCAAAACTTTAAATTCAGCATTAAGCTTTTCTGCATATTTCACATTTAACATTCAGGTTGAACATCTCCTAACATCAGGAATAAACCCTTAAATGCTTTTACTCCTCTTTAACTCTTTAAACTTATAAATTCAGTCTGTGGGGTTTTACAACCACTCTGTCAAACCTAGTCTTTGTAAAGGCAGGTGTTAATGTCTTTGTAGTCTTAGTTGGTGACTC